CTCGGGTGACGTCTTAGGTAGAGCCCATAGGTGGCCTGTGTGGGACACTTTGCCCACCAGGTGTCTCAGGCTGCACAAGTGAGCCAATTGCCAGTAGCGTAAACAACAAATGCAGATTACTTCAGGTGGGTGCAGGTTGTCGGGCACTGGGTGTGGGCCAGCTGGGTGCCGCTGGCTCAGGACCTCTTGGGAGGCTGCAGTCACACTGGGGGCTGGGGTGGCGGTCATCAGAGAGAGCCACCCCCAGGATCACTTGAGCAGCTTCAGGCAGACCTTGGTTCCTTTGGGGGGGAGGTCTTCCCATCAGGTGCAGGGTGTCCTCGTGACATGGTAGCTGGTGGGGCGTATGTGTGACACAGACAATGATGTGGAGAGAGGCTCAGAGAGCCTTAGATCAGGAGTCACATTGTAACCTAATCTTGAAAGGACCTGTCCTGCACGGGGCATCTTTGGAAACCACATGGAAATTGCTGCCTGGTGAAGGTCGCCTTGGGCAAAAAGTGTGCAGGCAGCCAAATTAGATAGAAATATTATAGGCAGTCAGACCGGGCCAGGCCCTCAAAGGAGATAACACAGAAGACAAGATACCTTACAACTGTGGGAGGGACGGATGCTCCTGCTGTGAGCCAGACCTAAAGAGCAAACAAATGCTGACCTCCCGAAAGATTAGCATCCAGGATTGATCATCACCCTGAGAAAATCAGGAAGAATCATTAATCCGACTACTACCGATGGCTACCTGATAAAGTCTTATTCTACATTCATGCCCACTTGCTATGTGACCCACTTCCCCATTTGCACCTGAACTTAATCAATTTAGCCTGAGCAATGGTGCTTGTAATCTCCCTGGCTGACCATAGTTTTGTCCCACCTCATGCCCACCTAAGCGAGTTCCCTTGTTCTCCACCACCTTAGACCTGCCTCACCGTGTGGTTTTACTCTATAAAAGTCCCTGGAAGACTGGAAGAGACAGCTTCCTGGGGACTACCCACTTGGGCCCCCGTCCTGCCCCTGTCTCAGACAGGAGTTTTCTTTTCCTCAAGAAACATATTCTGCTCATAACCTCCATTTGTTCCTAAAATTCATTCTTTGGTTTTCGAGAACACAAACTCATCCAGGTCAGGTCGGGAGATCATTTTCCCCTGTCACTTGGAGGTTCCCTGTATCGTTTGGAGGTCACCCACCCCAGATCAGTTTTTTTCTCCCTGTATCAAAAGGAGCAGACATGTCCCTTCTATGAAGCAGAAAGGGCAGCGCAGGACACTAGCTGTCTCCCTCTTCATCAGATGGGCCGCAGTCTTCCACAGGTGACCTTACAGGTTGCGCATGAGCACAAGACTATGTGGTACGGTATATCCTTTCAGCTGAGGATGTCACCTGCTAGTTGATGTGAGGGTGACATTACTGGGCCAGTAAGGGATCCTTAGGTGAGAGCTATTGAAAACTCACCCAGAGCCCCAGAGTCCAGATGTGGGGGCACACACTTATTATCCCAGTGCTCTGCAAAGCTGAGGCAGGGTGACTGCAAGTTTGAGCCTTGCCCAGGGAATTGAGTAATTTAGTGAGATACTGCCTCAGAATAAAAGAATAAAAAAGTCTAGGAAAGTAGCCCCATGTGAAGTCCCTGGGTTCAATCCCTAGTACTGTAAAAATAAACAACGAACATCATCACCCACAGGGCCCCACCCATAGGCACACTGTCATTCAGTCAGTCAGTTTTCGCTGAACTTCTCCAGCCTGGGCAGGGCAGCACGCATGCGGTCATGCGTTCATCCCTTTGTTCATTCACTGAGCTGCAAGTACGTTCAAGGTCTTCATAACCCCATTCTCTGTAATATGACCAACTCTACATGACTGCTGCTTTACAGATGAGGATACCGAGGCTCAAAGAAGTGAAAACAAATGCCTCCCTGAGCTCACTCTGCTACCTGTGACTCCGTTCAAAGGTCCCCTGCATGGCCAGCCACACTGAGCTCTGGGAAAGTGACCACCCCCTGGCCTCAGTCATCCTAGCAGGCCTCAGTCACTCTGTGCCTCGACTCCCTGACCCCAGGCACTCGGAAGATACCACGGCCGCATTAGCCCTGTAGGGAGGCCTGTGACAAGGGTACAGAGAGGGCCAGTCTCAGGTCCTTGTAGCTTCAGTGTCCCTCACATCCACACAGTGGAAACCAGAAATTGTGGACCTCTGTCTAGCGCTCTCATTTAGGCTGTGGGTATGTTTACGGCCCATTCTGTATTTAATTTTATTCTAAAATTAGTTTCCAGAATTTTTTTTTTCAAGGCAAGGTCTCCCTACATAGTTCAGGATGGGTTCAAATGCCCTTCTCCAGCATTTAAACATTACATGTTCATGAAATTTAAGGTTTTCAGACTTTATTGAAAAACGAGCAGACCCTGCTATGCTGGACCCCCCAGTCCCACCTATAAAAACAGCTAGTTTTCCCCTGGCAGGTGCCACTCAGGCCTTCATTCCCGATGCCTTCACCTGCTTCTGTCACCCGCTTGACCCCACAGGTATGAGCTGGCGACCTCAGCGGTGCTTCTCACCCTGCACAGACTGCCTGCTCTTTGGCTCTGAGGTCTCAAGGTGCTGTGACAGGCTCCAGGTGACAGCCACCATCAGCACGCTGGAGGAGAAGCCACTTAGGGCTATGGGGAGAAGGGTGACGTGGTCTATGGCCAGCTGCCTGCCACCGCCTGTACCATCTCTCCTGGCTCAGCATGGCTCAGCCTGGGGCCGTCCCTCTCCTGACATCACTGGTGACACCCGAGCTGAGCCTGGGGGAAGCTGGTGGTTTCTCGGGCTTAGACAAGAAGTAGTGATGTGCCTGCTTTTTCCAAAGAAGGCAGGAGGAGTAATAAGAAGGAAGGAAGCTGGGGCAGGGCCCTGGGGCCGTGGAGGTGGCCTCAGTCCTAGCCCATCGTGCATCAGGTCCTGCCCTGGCTTCAGGGCCCTCTGTAGCCGCACCCCCCCCACCCCCAGGCTGCAGCTCTTGCTCAGTATCACAGCCTCTCCCAGGCAGTCTGGCATTGGCTCATTCCCCTCCAGGAACTGCCTCTTCATATCTCTGCACCCCTGTCCCTCAGGACAGTCCAAACTAACTCCCTGCCCCCAGGCAGAAACCATCTCGCTGTCCCCTGATTCCACAGCCCCAGCTGCCTCCTATTTCTGTGGAGTTTTGCAATCTTCCTAAAGCTTCTCTCCTGCCCTATTCCCATTCCCACCCCTTGATGACAGCAAAGAGGGGCTTGACCTGTAGTAACCTTAACCTGAGTTAGACAGAGGGCCCCAGCTCTGACACTCTGCCATTGGGAAATTCACTCCCCAGCTCCCGGGCTTGGTCCCACCTATCCATGAACTCAGGGCTGGGGAGGGCTTTGAGGGTGGAATCGGCCACAGGAGGAGGCAGTTGTTCCTGGGACAAGCTGCTCATGCAACACCAGGATGGAGAATACACTGGGGACTCCCAAGAGCAGGCGGGAGGGGCCATGGGGTCCCCCTGACCCTCTCAGGGTGCTGAGGACTATTTGAACCCGGGGCTTGGCACTGGCTGCAGGGGGCTTGGGGCTTTTAGGAAGTTGCCTAGCAAGGACTTTGGGGTGATTCCTCTCCTCTTCCCCCAAGTCTGCAGGGTTCACAGATATCAGGGTATGGGAGAGGTGCTAAAGGCTCAGGAGGGCAGGGAGCATGTGGGACTCCCCAGTCAGGCCTGTGTACTTTGGGACATAGTCAAAAAGGAAAAAGGGGCCAGTCCCTAGGGCAAAGCGAGGGTCCATCCTGGATTGGGACAGGGGGATCACTGATAGCCTCCCAGAGATATACAGTGTCACTCTCAGCCTGGCCTGATGGGTGGGGGGACCCTGGCAGGGGTATCCTGAGTGCCTAGGCCCTTCCAGGATCAGGACTGTGAGGACGGGCTGTCATGTCTCATGGGACTAGGACACTGACTTCATGCATCTGGCTGCCCCATCGCTGTCCACGAGCTAATTCGGGACTGAGATGGATCAGCTCAGAGCAGGTCCCAGCTCCAGGCTACGTCCTCCAGGGCTCAGGCCCCACTCCTTTTCTGGCTCCTCAGGCTTGCAGCCCCTGCAGTGGTGACCCACGGCTCTCTGAACCCCAAACCGTCAGAAGCAAGTCCAGGCTTTGCTGTCACTGGTGCTCATGGGCCCAGGGCTTAACCAGTGATGAAACCCCTCGCCTCTCTGGTTCCCATTCTCCTCGGAACAATCCTGAGTGGAAGGGGTTAAGATGCAGCTCCCGGAGGACTGGCACAGGCTGGCAGTGGGGCCTAGGATTCTCCAGGCCTGGCCAGTGTTGTCCTCTCTCTGGGCCTCGGTTTCCTATCTGCAGAGTACGAGTCTGTTCTAGGGCAAGTGTCTAGTTTGGTGGGGACCAGGGCTCTCCGCTGCAGGGTAGGGAGGAGGAAAGGAGCCAGGCAGGAGCAGTAGGCCCAGGCTGCAGGTCCTGTCTTCCTGGCAGGAGGTGTGGTCTCAGAAGCAACAAGGGACAGGCCCAGGCCAGGTCACGCCAAGGAGATGACCTCGTGGGTGACTTGGGAGGTGTCACAGCTTACCTGCTCCCTCCAGGGCCTCTTCCTCTGTCACCTCACCTCTAATCGCAGTTAGATTTCTCAGACTTTCAGTGTGAGCCTCTCCCTTGCTCTATCTGCCCAGCCATTTGGGGAGCAGTGACAGGGTGCCTTATACAAGAAAGGGTACATATGTAGATTGTGTTATGCTATATAAATACAAACATAGATGCTGACATTTTGAAGTTAACTACGTCTTAGCTTTTTTTTTTTTTTTTTTGCCTTGTAAAAGATCTATTGGGACCCTCACAAAAATGGAGCTCGCCCCCTTTGCCCTGTCGTGACGAGCCAGCTGTGTTGCCCATTGCAGCCGGCAGGGGTCGCCCGCGGAAGGCCCGAGGGGCGTGCCGGGGGCGTGGCCTAGGAGTCCGGAGGGCCAATAAAAGCGGCGGCTGTCCGCCCGCGAGGATCGCTTCCTGTGCGCGACCTAGGCGCGTCTTCTGCGCTCTGCTCGCTGGCTTCAGTCGGAACCGCGTCCGCGATGCTGGCGTTTCGCTGCGGTCCCCGCCTGCTCGGCCACTTCTCCGGCGCCCGGTCCGCGCCGCTGCGCCTCTCTGCGGCCCGCGCCTGCAGCGGTGGCGACTCTCGCACCCCGATCTCTTCTTCCTCCGGGAACCCTCTCGTCTACCTGGACGTGGGCGCCGACGGGCGGCCCCTCGGCCGCGTGGTGCTGGAGGTGAGGCCGCTTCCCCATACGGCCCAGGGCGGGGGACGGGGGGCGGGAGCGATCCCGGGGCTGCGCAGACGCCCAGCCCACGCGGTGCCTGGTGTGCGGGTGACCTTGGGCCTTCCGCTTTCGCGCCCTGGGCCTCAGTTTCCCGGTCACCGAGAAGAGGCAGCACCTTGGTGCCTTCCACCCTCCCTGATAGTAGCTGGGACGCGGCGAGGCCGGGGTGGTGGTGGAGGCTCAAGGTCAAATCGCGCAGGGGGAGGGTCAGCGCCGCGGCTGGTCTGGCTAAGAGAGAGGGTTCAGAGGTCGGCGCCTGGACCCCGAGCTCCCAGGCGGGTACGGTGGTCCCCGGGGCCGGGTGGCGTGGTGTGCACACATTTGGCAGCCCTTGCTTAACGTGGCACGTGCCCCTACCCTCCACCACCGGCGCCCACCCTTGGGCAGTGAGTGTGGCAGGTCACTGCAGGGCCACCAGGTGGACCCGGTGGCCCCCGTGTGTGGGAGCTTGGGTACCCCAAACCCAGTCACTCTTCTAGGGTCCATACTCAATGTCTGCTCCTGTTTCTTTGGATCATTTGTAAAGTAAGAAACATAACTGCGGAGGTAAACGGGAAGGGCTAACTGGCCCCACTTTGAACAAAGGGGCCAGTTGCGCATGACCGGCCTTTCCAGGGAGCCCTGGGTATTTCCTATTAAGTCTCAGTTTCCCCTTTCAATGGGAGACACCCTCCCCATGTGCTTTTGTGTAAGAGTGAATTTTGAAGCTGAGCTGGAGGGGCTGGCTGGGGCACCGACCTCCCCTGCTTCCACCCTCCTGTCTCTGGGCCCCGGTTTCCCATCTGTGTGCCTAGTGTTAGACTGGCTCTTCCGTGGGTCTAGGATCTGAGGCTCTCTCCTCCCAGCCTGGGCTCAGGAAGCAGCTGCCGGGAGCCGATAGTGACCTCCAGAGCTGTGTTGTAGGTTTGGTGGTGACAGGGCTGGCTGTGGTGGTTTCTGATTTCGGGGCCTGTGGGCATTGGCTGGCACGAGGCTCTTTCCTGAGCCTGCCTTGGGATTGACCGGTTTTTGTTCTTCTTCCCTTCTCAGCTGAAGGCGGATGTCGTCCCAAAGACAGCGGGTAAGGCAGGGCTGAGCCTTGAGTCCAGCCTGGATGGAGGGAGGGCAGGTGGGCATGGGGAAGAGTTGGGGCTCAGGAATGCGACCAGGTTAGGAGATCTAGGTGAGCTCTGAGTGCTCTAGGACAGCCTCCGTCCCTTCCTGTGCCTCACTGGAGGCTCTGCCCGCCCGCGTCTGTAGTAAGCTGGGAGCCTCAGAGCCAGGGCAGGCACATGCAGATTCCCGGAGATGGCTGCTGCTCCTGCTGGGGTGGGGGAACACACTGAGTTTGCGGACGCTCCCTGCCCCACTTTCCTGTGGTTAGGGGAAGGAAGTGACTTGTGCCAGCCCCAGTTAGTCTGGCAGAGCAGATCCAGCAGGTGGGCTGTGCCCCCACCCCACTCCTTCCTTGGGGTATTCGGGTGCAGGCCTATTGACTACCACTCTCCCCTCAGAGAATTTCAGAGCGCTGTGCACTGGAGAGAAGGGCTTCGGCTACAAAGGCTCCACATTCCACAGGGTGATCCCGGCCTTCATGTGCCAGGTAACAGGGCCCTCTTGACCTCAGGCTCCCTGCTCTGTGGGGTATTAATAAGAACACTCCTAAGCCTGCAGCTGTCCGCGGCATGGGAGGTACTGTGTGGGCGGACAGGTGGCCCCTGGCTTGTACTCACCCTGTAGGCCACAGGCTGTGATGGTCCTTTTCTGCCCTGGAAGTTAAGCGGCATGCCTAGGGTAGGACAGGCCTGCCTAGAAGCAGGAGAACCTGCCACGGGGAGCCCAGCTTAGGGGGTGGATGTGTGGGGGTGTTCGCTGACCTTTAGTGTTCTTTGACCCTGGGCATGGGCCATGAGAGGAAGAAAGAGGAGGAGCAGGGAGACCAGGCCCAGCGGCGTGTGCGAGCCTGGGCTTGCAGCCCCTGTTCCTGGCAGAGGGTGTTGCTCTCTGCTGCTGAGTGTGCTCCCTGCTCAGGTGCCCGCCTGGCTTTCAGAAGCTCCAGCATAGCTGTCATAGCTTTGGGGTCAGGAGGTGGCAGCAGGAACATCTGGGGGTGGTAGCAGGCCCTTGAGCTCAGCCCTCTCCCACCCCACCCTGTGGCCCAGGGCTGCTGCCCTGGACCTTCCAATTCTGTGCAGCCTGCATCTGTGTGGAGAGTGGCCAAGGCAGGGAGGGCCTTACAGGGCTGTGTGTGCTTGCAGGGCAGGCAGGGCCAGGCTCTGCAGCCTTTGTGCCGCCGACATTCCCAGTGCCACCTGAGGCAAAAGTCGGGTCAGCACTGTGCGTGTGAGGTGGGAAGTTCCCAGAGGCCTCGTGTCTGGGGGACACCTTCTTGGCACCTATTGGTGCCTCAGCTGGTCTGTGTGGGTCATCTCTGTAGCCTGAGAATGCCGGCTCAGGAAAATCATGTGGCTATGGCCAAGGCTCTGCGGGGCACAGCTGGCCACAAAAGTCCTGTCAGGGCCACCAGGACCTTAGGCGAGCTTTGAGGAAGGATGCCAGCCATGGTGGGCCCCGTCCTGGGTCTCCTGGATTTGTGGGGAGACCTCGGGGACAGGGAGGCGGGTCAGCCTCAGGGACAGACGCCTGGCCACCTCCTCGCTGCTGGCTTCGAACTGGAGGCTGCAAGTTCTAGGTAACAAAGCATCAGATGCCTTTTAGGTCCTTAGAGAAACACTTAACGTGTTCTTAGATAAAAAGCTACTGTTCCAAAAACAGGGAAACCTGCTATAGCAGATTCAAGTTATTACAGCAGGAAATATTTAAGCTTCGATGTTTGCCCATTTGCCTTATTGTCTTGATCCTCATTTCCTTATGTGTTTACTGGCCCTGAGGAGCTTCTAGCAGGTGGCCCTGGGGTGGGCGGGGACCGCACCAGGTCTGTGTGGCCAGTACTCAAGTCATTCTGTGCACAGGGAGGCGACTTCACCAACCACAACGGCACTGGGGGCAAGTCCATCTACGGGAGCCGCTTTCCTGATGAGAACTTCACGCTGAAGCACGAAGGGCCAGGTGAGTGGCGGCTGTGTGTGTGTGTCCCCCGCCCCAGGGTCCACACCTTGACCACTACCCCTAGGCCAAGACTGCTCCACATCCTTGCTTCCTGCAGCATCTGGTTGGCTCTCATGGCTGGCCCGCTGGGTTTCCTGAGAGCTTCCCTGAGGCCCTGTCCTGCCAGGCCACCACCCTGAGACACTGGGGCAGCAAAGCAAACAAGCCCTGGGTACTGCTGGTTGGTGGCCCTGGTTCCTTTCCAGGCCCAAGATCTGCAGATTGTGGTGTGTTTGATGTGCTCTGAGCCCTCCGCATGGCCGAGTGGCTTCCCAAATGGCAAGTGTCCTCGGCAGCCTGTGACCCACTCTTGCTTGTGTCTGCAGGTGTCCTGTCCATGGCCAACGCAGGCCCCAACACCAATGGCTCCCAGTTCTTCATTTGTACCATAAAGACAGAGTGGTGAGTGGCGCCTGTGGCTGGAGGAGGGTTTTGCGGGTTTGAGAAAAGCCATGTGCGGCTGGGGCATCCTGGGCAGAATGTCTGGATGAGAGAGTGAAAAGACTGAGGGCAAAGTTGGGTTGTTCCTGTGACACTACAGATTAGGCCTCATGGCACTCTGAGCAGAAGCCAGTCGGCTTGGTTTGACCCGGGATTTCCCAGGCTCTCCCCCAGGGGCATAGCTTGGGACATGCTGTGGTGGACAGCTGGATGTTGCAGCAGCTAGGCGAAGCCCACAGGTGGCTCCCAGGCCCTGGCAGCCCCTCCCTACTGCCCATAGATTCTTGGGCTGTTTTTTCCCTGGTATATTTTTCACTAAGGGATGCTTCTCTGCCAAGAGCCCCCTGGTGTCTGAGCTCTGGAACATTAAGTTGAGGGGACAGCAGCTAGCCAGGAGCTGAGACTGCATAAAGCTTGCTAGGATTTCAGGGAACCCTGGGGCATGGGTAGATGCTAGCCTCTCTACCATCCAGGTGAGAAAGATGGGGCGCTGGGCCAGCGACCTCCTCTGCTGCTTCTGGGGAGCCCCTTATGGGCCCGCGAGCTGTGCCTGTGGCTGTCACTCTCAGCATCCCTGAGCTGCTCTAGGTGCCTCTGACATTCTCGGGCCACTGTGTCGCTCACTTCATAGCTCCCGACTCCTGAGGGGTTGTGCTAGAGTGGACTTCGTGCTTTTCCCGAGCAGCCCTGTACCTGTCGTCTCCCTGGGCAGAGCAAGCGAGCTCACTTTGCTCACACAGAGTTAGCAGGATGCAGGCCAAGTGGCCGAGGGTAGGGTCACATGGCGCAAGAGGGCAGTGTGTGTCCTGGGAGCCGGGTGTTGTGAAGGGTGGACATGGGGAGCTCAGCCGGACTTGAGCAGCTGTCAGGGGCTGGGTCCAGCTACCCAGGAGGGCTTCCCTCAGAATTGCTATTGTTGGTAAATCTTACGTGCGGCCTGGGTGTGGGTTAGGGTGGTCTCCTCTTTTCATCCCCTGCTCCTCACCCTCACAGGTTGGATGGCAAGCATGTGGTGTTCGGCCACGTCAAAGAGGGCATGGAGGTCGTGAAGAAAATAGAATCTTTCGGCTCTAAGAGTGGGAAGACGTCCAAGAAGATTGTCATCACAGACTGTGGCCAGTTGAGCTAACCAGTGGCGAGGATGCCGAGACATTAGCCGCTACCTATGGGTTGGCCCGCCCAGCTTGCCACTGGGACCCCTAGCCAAGGTGCCCGGCAGAGGTACGTGGGCCACCCCACTGCCCCTGTGCGCTTGTGGGAGGCTGCCCAGGAGCGCGTCTCCTGCAGGGCCTTGTGTCCCTCACATCTACCCTTCCTCCTCCACCCACCATGGCCATTGCGTCACACACCCCTCAGCAGGCACAGCCCACGAGTGCCCCAGCTCCTCAGTGCCTTGGATGATGGTGGCCATGACGGGGTAGCATTCAGTCACCCTGACGGGGAGGGACAGCAAGTTCCTGCCAAAAGACTGTGATACCTGTTCACAGTTGTCTTCCTAATTGCAATAATTTAATTAACAAGATAGACTAGAAATGAAGCTGTGACGTGACCTGGGTCAGTGGCACAGGTCGCAGAACCCTGGATCGTGACTGTCACAACACAACTCAGGGCTTGTGTGAAAGTTGCCCAAGACTGAGGCTTTTCCTCCGGTTACTGTGAGACCCATCGGTTCATTGTTGTGAACTCCGAACCTGGACAAAATGCCCTCCAAGAGCTGCCCCTGCTCACTGTGAATTCCTGTGTGGGCCCGGAAGTGGCCTGTGAGGGCCCCTGGTTCTGGAGGGAGGTGCTTCTGGTGGGCTCTTCCTTTCCAGTGCATGGTCAGTAAACTCAGTCTACTGATGCTATGTAGAACATTTGTGTTCACCTTCAATGTGATAATAAATCCTATTTTCTATAAGACTGTGCCTGTGATTTTAGAAAGAAGTTATGTATTTATTTTTATTTTATTTATTTATTTATTTATTTATTTATTTATTTATTTATTTTTCCTAGTTCAGGCTGTCTTAAGGCCGGTCTGGTGCGCTTGTGGAGCTGGGAATCAAACTGTGGTCCCCTGTGCCTGACTGCATTTGCCCAAGTGGCGCTTTAAACAGCTGAGCTATCTGGCAAGCCCAATATCTTGGTATTTAAAACCAAGTTTTTAAAATAAGTTTTGGGGCTGGTGAGATGGCTCAGTGGTCTAAAGCACCTACTTAGAACAAGCTAAGCTAAGCAAAGCACAGGGACCGCGGTTCAATCCCCCAGTACCACATGCCAGCCAGCCCCACCCCTGGTGGGCTGAGCTGGCCACACACACAAATAAATGAATAAACAAATAAATAAATAAAAATTAAAAAAAAAATAAAGTAAGTTTCAATGTATCTGGTGCTATGCAAAGGACATTTTTTCTTCCTCCCAGTGCTGGGGATGGAACTGGCCTCAGTAGTGGTTCCATGTGCTCCACTAGGGGGAGATGAGTGGGTGGGCAGAGGGTGCATGGGAAGACAGGCATCCTTTGTCATCTGGGAAATGCAAGCCAAAGCCCAGCGGGGTGCCATGTCGCACCTGCTCTGAGGTTTTAGCCAGGTAGTAGCGAGTGTGAGGACAAAGAGAAATTAGAATCTTCCGACCTTTATGTTTGGAAAATAGTTTTGTAGTCACGGGTCTAAATGTAGGTAGGTCCACACAAAAACTTGCATGTGGTTTATAGCAGCCTTATTAATAGTCGAAAAGTAGAAGCGACTTGTGTTAGCTTTTTTGTCACTGGGACAACAGGCCACAACTTGGAAGAGATGTTTATTCTAGCTCAGTGTTTGGGGAGGGCAGACCCTGGGGAGTGGCTCCAAGACAAGCTCATGGTTGGATGAATCTGCTGATGAGTACAAAACCTGATGATGACCCAACCGTCTAAAAGCCACACCTCTGAACACCAGCCTGAGGGCCGTTCTAGATCATTCGCGGCACAACCCAAAGGCCCATCAGTGGGCACATGTCCCAACAGTGTGATGTATCCATACCGTGGAATTGCTGGGCTCTAAACAGGAAGGACATAGTGACACTTGCTCAATCTGGATCAACCTTGGGAACCATTTACTAAGTGAAAGAAGCTGGTCATAAAAGACCCTCACTCCACAGGCTCCCATTCGTAGGGAATATCCATCAGCAGGAGGGCTGTGGAGACAGAAAGCAGGTTCCTGGATGCCCAGGGATGGAGGAGGTCGCTGCGGAGACGCCAGTGGGTGAGAATGGAGTGCATGAGCTTTATGGGAGGATGCAAACGCTCTGAAGTTCACGTCTGGGGTGGTCTGTGACCACCCCAGCAGCCATTATAATAGCTGAAGTGGACCTCAGTAAGTCTGCTTAGTGATGAGAGGCAGGCCAGTGGGTGAGAATGGAGCGCATGAGCTTTATGGGAGGATGCAAACGCTCTGAAGTTCACGTCTGTGGTGGTCTGTGACCACACCAGCAGCCATTATAATAGCTGAAGTGGACCTCAGTAAGTCTGCTTAGCGATGAGCAAGGTCCCCCAGTTCTCAGGGTGTATGGGCTGTTTCTTCTGCTTCGAGAGCCACAAGCCCAGGTGAGATTGTCACAGTATTTCTGAACAGAATAGCCGCTTCTCAAACACAGGAGCCCAGTTATCTGAGGTTCATCTGGAGCCAACTGAGTGCCGGCGTCCCTTGCTCCTCAATTCCCTTTCCCATGAAAAACTCCCTAAGACTGAATTCAAGTGATTCTGTGACTCAGGATCACTTAACCTTAACAATTACGGTTTTGTTCCATTTTGAATGATGAGCCAGCTCAGCGCCTTCAAGAAATAAGGGAACCTTTGAGTGCTGTTACTGAAGGCTTCTGATTCTCAGATTTTTAAACTTAGGTTGAGAATTGAAGAACCCAAGTTCTCTGTTTTCTTTTGACAAACAATCCAACAGCCGCAGAATTTGTCCCACACCTGCGTCCCGAGGACATACAACTCACGCTGTGAAACCACAGGTGACAAGGTGACTAAGGTTGATGTCACTGCATGCTGTGGATCACTAGCATACCAACTCCCATGGCAAGACGTTCAGCCCCACCTTCAAGTCCAGGGCACAGCCCAACAAATCCCCGCACCCCATCCTTGGGGGGTCACCTTCTGGGGCCACTTTTGGTATGCACTTCGTATACTCAGGATCCAGAGAGGAGACTGAGACGACACAGGAATGTAAATAGGAGCCATGGGACACCTAAGGTGGAGACCTCTGAACAGCCCTTTCCGGTGCCCATTGCGGGTAGGACTGAGGACGAGTCCAGAAGGCAGGGAAAACACCTGCTCACGTGCTTATTGGGCGTGTGTGTGTCTTCGCTGAGGCAGTGTCTGTTCAGATCTCTTACTTGTTTTAAATGTTTTTTTTTTTTTTATTGTTGAGCTGTAAGAACTTTTTATGTAGTATGGGTACGAATTCCTTATCTGATGTGGGTGAGCCCCAACTTATGACGGCTTGACTTAAGATTTTTAAATTTTACAGTGGTGTAAAAGAAATACATCTTTGGGAGGATGAATATACTGAATCTTGATCTTTTTCTGTGCTAGCAGGGGCCAGGGAGATGGCTCAGTAGAATAAGTGCTTGCCTGGCAAGTACAAGGGCCTGAGTTCAATCCCCGGTTCTGGGAAAAAAAAAAAAATCAAATCTCTGCACTAGCAGTATGGGATACAGCACTCTCTTGCAAAGCTGAGCAGTGGTGGTGAGCTACGCACCCAGCCAGCCACACCACCAGGGAGATGTCGCGGTCCTCTGGGCACTGTGCTGCTACGCTGTGACATACAGGAGCTTGGGCATATTAAATGCATTTTTCTTTTTCAGTACCAGGGATCAAATTTAGGACCTTCCGCTTGCTGGACAAGCACTTGAAGCCACTGAGCTGTCTCCCCAGCCCCTAAATGCATTTTTTTAGCTTTTAATATTTTCAACTCACAATGGGGTTGTTGGACTGTAGCCCTGTCATAAGCCAAGGACTATCAACTCATAGTTCCTATATAGACATGTCCCACTTAATGATAAGATATATTCCAAGAATGACATTATTAGGTGGCTTTGTCCTTGTGTGAACATCACAGAGCTCCTTACAAACTGAGGGGACTGCAACAGTGCAGGGCTGTGTGATGCAGGGTGTCACTCATGGGTGTGGTCTCTCCCTGACTGCAACACACAGCTGCTCAGATGGCCCAGGCTTTGGACACCGTGGGAGCGCTCAGACCCCTTCTAGCACCAGCTGAAAACTGCGAGGGTGACCCCAGGCAGCCCAAAGACTGTTCTCCAACATGGATTTCATCCCAGGTCAGGGAGACTGTCAGAGGTAAGACTTCTACGGGAGCCCAAATGCCCTAGTTGTACAATGGGGAAACTGAGGCCCAGAGGGGTTAGGGATGAAAGCTCTCAGAAACTGGTTGATCAGGAGCTTCCAAATCAAAACTTAGCTCTCCTAATGCCGGAGGTTGTCACTGTGTCAGGTGGAAGGGTGTGTGAGGAAAGGATTGAGTTTTACAAATAGGGCTTTAAACTCCTCAATAGGCATGATGAATACATTATCCAGTGAAGGAATACAACCAAGGAGTAGACAAAAGAGACAGATCCGTACACACAAACACACACACACACACACACACACACACACGTATACGCATACACACACTCACACACGCAAGTTCTGTAAGCAGAAAGACCAGAAGAACGCAGCCAAGCTCTGAAAGATGCTGGTCTGGGGGAGAAGCCGAGTCCTGCAAATGTTTGTGTGTCTCTCTGTGTTGTTTCCATTTCACATTGTGCATGCATTATTTATAATGAAGGTGCAAAAGCCAGATAAGTCCACTTTAGAGTGCTGCTCAAGCACAGTGAGGTCTGGGGAAGTTAGGGCTCACTTAGGATACGGGAGAAAGAAAAAAGAATCCCTTTTTAATTTCCGTATGCTGCACCTATTTGCCTGCCCGCCGGAAGTTGCAGTTCTCGATTCAGCCACCAGAGGGCAGAAGGCAACCAGTTGATGGGCTCAAGAGGACAGTTTTTTGTTGTTGTTGTTTTTTTTTTTTTTCCGGAATCCAGGATTGAACTCAAGCCCTTGAGCTTGCCAGAAAGCGCTTATTCCACTGAGCCATCTCCCCGGCCCAAGAGGACAGAATTCTGAGCAGGCAAGTTTGTCAGCAGAGAGCCCCAAGGTTAGAAGTCTCCTGTTCGGTGCCTAGCCAGGGTCAGATTCCCAGGAAGAAGAGAGGAGATCATTGTGTGCTGGCCCAGGGTCCTCTGACCCAGCACAACAGGGAAACTGAGGCAGAAGCCTGGTCAGAATTAAGCTAATAGGGTTGCTACGCAGGAGAGGTGGGACATAGTTTGTAGCCATGGAGAGCCAGCATGTCCAGGCCTTTCCTGAGGCCAGGCGTGGGCTTCAGCTGCCAGCCCAACGGGTCCCAGTGTTTGTGGCTGGACAGAGGCTGAGTCTGGCTTGCGGGCTGTATTTGAGGCCTCTTGGTCCAGCTGCCCCCTGCCGCCTCCTGTCACAAGTTCCCTCACTCATGCCTGGTCCCTTTGCACTGCCGTGTCTAGTTCTTTTTTTTTTTTTTTTTTTTTCAGTGTTTTTCTTGCTGAAAGATATTGCTAAGGTATTGTGTAGGTATATACCCAAATACTCAAATATTTTTTTTTTTTTTTTTTTTTTTTAATTTTATTGAGAAACAAATAGCAGTGAGACAGTTTCAAAACCGATTAGTAGGACAGTTTCATTAATTAGTACATTGCATATTGTCTTCGTAGTGGTTATCCATAGTTCAAGATGCAGGCATGATATCCTGTCCAAATACTATTAGTACGAATCTGTCTTCTCATTGAATTAAAAGAAAGTAGCTATGTTATCTATCCTATTTTGACCACGGCCCTCAGGGTCGC